TGCTTGTCTGTTTAACAACTTCACAAAGCTAAGCGCCTCCCGAATAGCTACCAGAATAGTTAACCATCTCTTCCGGTAGCTAAACTGTGTTGCTTTTGACTTGCTGAAATTTCTTTGATCCTCTACCGTAACAGATTAAATTGCAACAGATAATGAAAAATATGGTATAATGCAAACAGATCATTGAAATATCTCATACGTTCGACTTTTAGGCGTTTCGTTGTCAGTTTTGGCGAGCGAAGTTGTTGCCACACCACACATACCGTTCCTTAATTGTGTGTTTGCGTGTTTTAATTGCAAACCTAACAACCATGCACCTCAAGTAAATCACACAAGTTTACCTACCTATCCTACTGTGATTCCATAGAATTCTTCCCCGAACGGACCAAAGGGTTGAGTAAGAGTTCAGAAAAAACAAGAGTGAATATAGTCCTATACGAAACAAGAAATTTGTGGATTCGCGGAGGTTAGCAGATCACCCGCCTTTCTGCGTCATATACCCAATAGCATGATAATCGCCTCCGTTATCCGAGAATAGAGAGGTCAAAAAGTCATTCTTGTGACCAGAGATCTTTTGTTTACTCAATATTTAACGATTGCGAAACCGAAAGGGGTTTTTCCCCTTTTTGCATACTTGCACGCAAAGTTGCATACTTGCACGCTAAACTTAATTAGAAGCCAGCATGATATTTTTGGTTTTCACGTGACGCCAGAATATTAAAAAAATAAGGAATTATTAATCCTTCTAGATTTTAGTTAGATTAGTCATTAGAACAGATAAAGACTATCTTTTTATCATTTTTAGTTAGATAGGGTTTTTCGTCACGCTAGAAAGCGAGGTTAAACTTCAAAGCTTTTGCTTGACACTATGGGCCTGATTACATGAGCCGGGCTGGCCCTGTTAGCCGGGCTGATTTCTTTTGTTTTGGTGTTCGCCAAGGCGTGAAAACAAAAGAAATCAGCCCGGCTAACCGGGCCAGCTCGGCTCATGTAATCAGGCCCTATGTTAAAATGGCAGCCGAGAAAGCTGTCACCGAGGTTAAAAAAGTATCTTGTCAATTGGGATTTCGCAGTCTGAACATTCCTGACCTTGTAGGAGAATGATTACTCATGTAAATGTTTATGAGCGCTTTAAGACAACTTCGAATATCTCCCCCGCAAAACATCGCACAGACCTGAATCCTTGCGAGACTGTTTGAATAATCACCTTTTGTCTCTTTGATTCTCGAATTTATTTAGTGAATAGTTTTGATGATAGTGCGACAGCGAAAACTGGCAATCTGGGAAAGTCTCATCGCTTACATGGGGCACCAATTGTTCAAAAATTATCTGGAATGATAACATTCAGATTATTTCTAAATCTTACTTTTTCCATTTTATATAAGCTATGACACATTTCATTTTATTGCAAGAAACATAATTTGTCAGTTATCACTTCTTTTATTAAAGCTAAAACTGCTCTCCACAGGTTTTTTCAAACTATTGAACAGCCTATTCAGGAGCCCATTGCCCACTCAGCCTGTTTCACATTTTTTAAATTACGAATTCCCAGGAACTTCATCATTTGAAATTTAAGGCCTTTTTTAGTCCGTGGTTTAATATAAAATTCTCGAAAATATTATCAATAATCTGGATATTATGATTCCAAATAATTTTTGAACAGTTGTAGGTTGGTGTCCCTTACGCTTACGAAGTTTCTCAGGTATAAGACCGTTAACATTTAAACACCCTAGCACCCTCTCTTATATATAAATATCGGTGTCGAAGAGTTTCCAGCAATCTGATTGGTCGAGCGGTTCCTTATATGACGCTTATTTGAAGTCATTCTTGTGACGACAGATCTTTTGTTTTCTTTATCTTTAATAATTGCGAGACCGAAAGGGGTTTTTCCCGACCAGTTACAAGCCCTTCTTTTTTCCAGCCATCCTTTCTCTATCAGTAGCAAACCAGCACGGAGAAACTTATACGCCCGCGTGATATTTGATAAAGTCCCATCGCTTGTATGGGGCACCAACTGTAGAGATATTCAGATACAATGAAATATATGAAGTTCATATATTTTGAACTGCGGTATTAGATACGTATGATGCACGATCCTCGCAGTAGATAGCGCTATTTAAGCAATAGCGAAAATCAGACC